TCCTGGGTAAAGTTTAATGATTTCTCATCACTCTCACTACCCACCTTGTGTCTTAGTCGATTTATCGCCTTGCTTGCGGGGGGGGGTCTTTTTAATTTCGTCTTCTATTGTTAAAGACATGTTCTCAAACATCTGGCTCACACTGTGCATATGAATACAACTCTTTATTTTATATATGCGTGTTACATATACTTAGGTCTATGTGTAGACATGAGTTTTCACGTACAAATGTTACTAAAAATGCATATCTTGATCCTATAATTGCTTCAGCGTAGTCAGATATATTTTATTATTTGAGATGATATAAGGACGATAAAAGCATTCAGTCGAACGTGCCCAATTCTGCCGCCATGAGTTTTATTAATATTCTCTCATACTTTTTCTTCTCTTTTGATTTCTTTTCTTACGTCTAATTACGGTTCCAGATAATAGATCATACGTTAATATAACAATGTCGGCCGGAGTTAGACAAATATCGACAGTGATCTGGAAAAGGAATGAAATCACTGGTGTTACCTATTCTGAATCCATCCAAAGAATTAAGCAGGCGGAATTAGTAAATACTAAAAACTTCAAATACTTCGGCTTATGGATCAGTTATAATAAATTTAGTATAGGAGATAAAGAAATTAAACATAGAATAAGCTGTACTGTTCTGTGCTATGGGCAGTTTCTCCCAACAGAGCAAGATTTCAACAGCAGCAGCAACTAAAATGGATATCACATGTAACTCAAAGAGAAAATAATGAAGCCTTAGTGTCTTAGCAAAGATCATTCTTCTTTGAACCTTGTGGACTGGTGCTACAGAATCACAAACAAAGAACTGTACCAAATAACAGAAACCACATCACTTGAGGACTTTCAACAGCAGCAACAACTAAAATGGATATCACATGTAAGTCAAAGAGAAAATAATGAAGCCTTAGTGTCTTGGCAAAGATCATCCTTCTTTGAACCTTGTGGACTGATGCTACAGAATCACAAACAAAGAACTGTACCAAATAACAGAAACCACATCACTTGAGGACTTTCAACAGCAGCAACATTTAAAATGGATATCACATGTAAGTCAAAGAGAAAATAATGAAGCCTGAGTGTCTTGGCAAAGATCATCCTTCTTTGAACCTTGTGGACTGGTGCTACAGAATCACAAACGATATATATCCACTAATATCTGTCTAAACTGTGAATGTGAAGATGAGTGTTCCTTTAAATGTTCTGAGATTGAACTATGCCCATTCAAGTGAAACGTACGACGTCCCGTCTACGTCGTCGTTGTAAAAACAACATTTTTTATCAGCGATGTAATCTCCCAGATATTATATTATATATATATATATATATATATATATATATATATATATTGGACGATGGAGTATTGCATAGCGGCTCAGATTGAATAATCGGAAAGCTGAGTTTGAATTCCAGTCAAATTCATTGCATTCACTTTCGCGCTAATACCTTTTGAGAATGGCAAGATTCCAGCATTTCTCTCCGCAACTATGGGTAACAGAACATATTGGGCCCTATAGCGAACGGTCTAGGGGAAGGAGAACTCTGATTTCAAAAACCTGCCAAGAGTCTTTTGGGAAACTTGCGGCATACTGTGCACCAGTTCTCTGTATTCAGCTCTTCCAAAAAGTGTGGTTGCTTCTGCACAAGCCTTAACCATTATAATCAAATGATATTTGTGGGTTTCATAATTTTTTAATCCCTTATTGGGACTCTACACAAGAATGATTTTATTTTATCAGAGAAAATCAAATTTGTAAACAAATATTTATATGCACACATTCAAATTTAGATTCTACAACTGAAAGACCAAATAACTAACATTTTTTTCCGTTTATAAAAATACTTAGAATTATCTAATATATATATATATATATATATATATATATATATATATATATATATATATATATATATATATATAATACAGAAAAGGTTAATGGACAGAGTTGAATTAGACCAGGAAACAGAAGTTTAAAAGTGCTCAATACACGGGGGAAAAAACAGAAGTAAAAATAGACGTAGAGCTTTTAACTCTAAAAATGAGGAGGTTGTTGAATTGTTACCTTGGTTTTAGTTTTACGGTAACACTCAGGCATTTTTATCAAATTACCTCTCAACGCTTTTTTTTTTTATTTAAAAAAATAAAAATGCGTTGAGAGATCATTTGATAAAAATTCCTGAGGATACCTGAAAAGGCTAAAACCAAGGTAGCGGAAAATGACCACCGGATTCAAATGACCACCTGATTTTATATATATATATATATATATATATATATATATATCTATATATATATATATATATATATATATAGATAGATAGATAGATAGATAGATAGATAGATAGATAGATAATATAAAAGGGCCAAACACTAATATTCCCTGGTTATAATTTATTACATTGGAAACGTAATCACGATCCAAATCATCAGACCTACAAATTATATTCTTGCTCTGTCCTGGACATTGAGTTCTACCTGGATTTTATCCTCTACGAATTTATATATATATATATATATATATATATATATATATATATATATATGTGTTTAAATATATACAAGTCTTTTAATGTTTTTTTGTCTGTTTAATTTTTCAAATTACAGAATTAGATGTTCTGTGTTCTCGGTATATTTTCATATTTATTTTTATTTTATATAATTTTCCTCTCGAGCTACATTTGTTTTCAAGGATTGTTCTCTCTGTATTTACGCAATTATTTTTTTTAAATTACGGATTTGATGGAACCAATTTCAACTCGCCCAAGATGACGTCATCTAAATGGGCAATCTGAAAATCTTTATCTGCTTTTTATATTATTATTATTATTAAAGACATTTCAATATAGGCTCCCCTATAGAGAAAGATAATTTATTTAATGTTGGCCTCTTTTTTATTACAAGAGCGTCCAGAATTTGAAGGTCTTTTTTCCACTGTGTTTGATACAATATTTTGGTTTTAGCTACTAAAATTTATTTCATGTTAATACTAATTTGCTTATCTATGATCTCGTTTGACTTGAGATAGGTCCCATCAATCGTGAGAACGATGAAATTTAAAACCAATTGCTTCTAAGTAAAGTCTTACCTGCCCACTATTTCAGTTCAGGCATACTATACATATGATGGGGTTGTGTCAACGTTGTTATAAGAATCGCCATTTTTGTTTTGGGGTAGACATTTTTCAAAAAAATATTTAACGGCTCCTGAAACATCCCTCCCACAAACAATATTTGGCGGATTCATATGAGTCGGGGTAAAAATATAAAAATAGAAAACATGGAATTGTTTTGTATTTCTCGCTTAAAAGACTACAATATACGGTGAAGATTTCAAATAAAAATTTCAGCTCTAGCTCTCACATACTCTCACATACACATCTCTTTATCTCTCTCTCTTTCTTATATATATATATATATATATATATATATCAAATATCATATATATATATATATATATATATATATATATATATATATATATACTAAATATTAAATATATTAACCCACTACATACAGTGGTTTACTGTATGTAGTGGGTTTATTATAAATATTTTACTCTTTACTCTTACTCTCTGTAACCACTGACGTGCTAGTGGCACTCACACCTTGTTTGGGGTGATATGCTTAAAAAAAAGGTAATAAATTAAAAATGTGTCTTAATGAAAAATTTTATTTGTTTACTTTAGATTAGGGAGATATGAATATTTCGAGAATGGGGAAGACGTCTAATAAAAAGTATTTGGGCTTTGATTGACCAGGAGATTCTTCATGCCCGAGAAGTCAAAGCATGTCAAACAGATACACATACTCACACACACATATGTATACACAAATAAACATACACACATATATATTGTAAAAGTTTAAAACAATTGATCTCATATTCTCTAATAACCCTACAACCACATAACTAAATCCTTTACAAAAAAACCAATGTAGTGTATCAGTTTACATGACCGTTAAGAGATTGTATCTCTGATACTAATAATAAACCCACTACTTATATTGGTTTTACTACAACCACGTTCTCTCGTAGACTTACCTGTCACTTTTCTGAACTTAGTTCTCTTAAACAAAATTTCTTAGAAAAACATAACCATGTACATAATATAAGACAGATATTAGTTGTTAACACAACAATACACACAAATACACCAAGTAAAAAGAACCTTCAGATATTGGAGGCTATATGCATTAAAACTAAGCAACCCACGCTCAACAAAATTACATTTCAATCTAGTCACAACACATTATCTAGACATTGGTTCTGTTGTAATACTTTGGTCTATCACGTGGTATGACGTCATAGAACCGCATCTTGAACTTACGATCTGCGTCTGCTATTCTGCGACCGTTATCGTCGCATATCAATCTTCTATGTCAAAATAACAAAATATCCTCTTTGACGATGGATATCTTTGTTTCATGTCTGTATAACCACACTGAAGATGGCTAATGTGTACCGAAAGATTAGGACCAACTTAATAAAAATAATTATACAAATGTTGGACAGTTTTTGTCTTTACTTTCACCCGAAATTAACGCACATATTCAAACACTAGAACGGCTCATGATCAGACATAAGAGACTTTCATTGTCTGCTATAATTAATTATATCTATCTATCTCTCTATTTTTTTTTCTCTCTCTCTCTATATATATATATATATATATATATATATATATATATATATAGAGAGAGAGAGAGAGAGAGAGAGGATGGAGAGTATTATAGAGACATAGATAGATAGATAGAGGATAGAGTTAGAATGGCTAAGACAGATAGATAGTATTAGATAGACAATCAGAGATAGATAGATAGATAGATAGATAGATAGATAGATAGATAGATAGATACCATCCGTGGTAATGGTGTTTAATTTGCAATCCTACCCTTTCAGCTCGGGTTAAGATTGATAGCATGTCACTCTTTAGGACAGGTATATTTTTTACTTAAAAAAGATGGGTACCCATTCTTTCAGAAAT